GGGAATCTGGTCCTGGCCTGGACATAGATTCCAGAATTCTGGAATTTTTGGATTTTTTTGAGCATCACAGGGTTTCGTGAGATTGGGGATTAGAAATGTTGGAATTTTTTGAGCATTACAGTGTTTCGTGCACCCCATGCCCACGAATGCGCAGGTGTAGATCTTGGGGGGGGGGGAGCATATATATATATATATATAATATATATATATATACATAGAGGGAATTATGGCAACTACAGGATACTAGCATTTCTGTCTCTCCACCGGGTGCCGGGCACGTGACGGGTCAACTCGACTGGCCGCCAAACGTGAGATCCCTGCAACACCAAGTGCCACCTCAGCTCTTCACAATCTCCGAGTGCTTATAGGGCTCAAGGTCCAGGGCTTCAGATACAGGCTACGACCCAATTCAATGTTCAAGTGCTGAACACACCTCCTGACCTGCCAACGCATCCCAGCATCCCAAACATCGCTACGAGTGCTGCCTACTGCGGCCTGGGGCGGTGGCCCTGTTCGGTTTGCCAGGAATCGCGGAATCCATCCCGTCATCTGCTGGAGGTTCGTATTGTGCACCTCTTGGCACGCTTCTGGGTTGGTGACTCCTTCAACATGTCTCACTCCCAAGTGTCACAGCTCCAAAATATGGGCAGCAATCTCAAATTATAGACGGAATGGAGGTGCCCATGCAGTACCATGAAAAGCAAAACGAGAGAGTAACCTCTTGAGAGCTGTGTTGTTGGGTTTCTGGTTCCTAAACGACTAGTCTGAAACCAAACATCACGAGGCGAGCTCGTGGAAACACATGCCAAGAAAAAATGCCGAAACTTGAAACGAAATTCCTATCTCCTCTTTGCTGGCATTCCTTCCTTGCGGTCTCGGAGCGGAGCATCGGCTACGCTTTGGAAAGCCTGCGGCGCTACCACTGGGGATTCAGGGCCGGGCCGAAGTTGCCGGGAGGTGCATCGGGGACTCTTCGGGGGCTCCTGGACCGAGATCTCTTCTCTGCAGGTCTCTGTGAGGTTGGCTTCCAGGTCAGCACAGAGGAGTTTGTCTTCTTGCCATCCCATTTCACACCGTCGATCTCCAAGAGCCACGTCTTGAACTTGATCTGCTTCCCCTTCGACTTGGTCGCCTCTTTCAGGCGACACCCGAAAAGTGAACTTAGACTGTTCACCGTCTTGGGCCCCTTCTGCAGCTCCCGCACGACCTCCGACTTCAGGGATTCGGATGCCGACTCATGGCGGCCCACTGGCCTCGGTTCTCCAAATCCCACCTTTATCTTCGCCAGCCTTTCTCGCATCTTCTCTTTCTTGGTGCGTTCCTTGTCTTCCCTCTTCGCCTCCTTCTTCTCCTTCTTTTTCTCCTTCTTCTCTTGCTTCTCCTTCTTATCCTTCTTTTCCTTCTGCTTGTTCTTCTTCACAATTTCCGACAGCGATTGCCGCAGGAGCCGGTCCGTCGCCTTCATCTTCGCTCTCCCGATCGAAGCCGGCTCTAGTCCGTGCAGTCGCAGGAGTACCAAGGCCGTCACGAGTTGGCCCACTACCGCCCGTCCTTCCGGAATGGCATGGAGTGCTCGGGATATGGGAAGGTTCACCCGGACGCCCAAGTCTGGCACGGCTGCCCCCATGCAGACTCCGCGCCAATCCTCAGACTCCTCAAGGATTATTGGATCATCCACTGTAGCTCTCAGCAGTTTCCGCGTGAGTCCTCGCGCAGCGTTGTGTAGCTCCCAACTCTGCAGGTCTCCGCTCTCAAGGCTGTGCCCAATGGATGCCAAAGTTTTCCTGGCCTTAGGAGAGACCGCAAACTCATCCCTGCCTTCTTCTCCTTCATGTCTCGCTTCCTGTCTTTGCGCTGAGTTGGAAGCTCTTGCAAGCCGGCGCTGGTTGGCCTTGACCGCCGCCGTCAAAGAAGGTCCCCAAAATCGCCGCGAGGAAGTCGGAACGGCCTCTACGCAGCGTCGGGCGAGGCAACAGATTGCTCAAACGGCTAAAGCCTGCAAGTGCAAATGTTTAACCATGAGGGCTCCTGCCCACAGAAATTCGTAACCGGTTTAAGCCATCTACGATTGTAAACCACAATGCTTTTCAAATCTTGCGAACGTTTCGACCGCCTGAGAGAACCCATTGCAAGAAGGCCCCTATCTTCCCGCCAAACCTTTGTAAACTTGTAAAAGTTTCAACTACCTTGCCAAGGACCAGTCTACACGGTTAAAGGGGTTTAGCCGTTAAAGCCGCTCAAGCCCTGCATGCCCAGAAACCAATGCAAGAAGACCGCTAGCTTCCTGCCAACCGTTTAGCATGTGAAAACCCCCGGGCCACTAGCAGGGCGTGCCAAAACCCTGAATCGACCTCTCACGCTTGCTGCATGCCTCTCACAACATTTACACGCTCTTAAACGCACGGCGTTCAAACATGTTTCAACCCGTGGGCTACTGAATCGATTATCGGCTATACCGGAAAAACAACTATAGTAACTATAGGGATCAGCCCTACAGCTAGGTCGCACCGCGATGTCTAAACCTTGACGCATGCAGTGACTCAGATGAGGATGCTTAAACGTTTAAACATAGTCAACTCTGCCAGAAGTGTTTAAACAAAACCTGTTTCAACAACAGAAGTGTTTACACGCATTTGTTTTGATGCCAGATCTCCGAAATATGTTCAAGCATGTCGGTGTAAACTCCAAACATGCTTTGCCCATCCTTGCCTGTACGGCGGAACTGGGAGCTTGCGAGGAAGAACTCGGAGTGGCCTTTGAGGACGTCGCACCGATGCTCCTGACATCGTCCATGCTAACAAGCCAAGAAGCCACGTGGTCATCATGCTCGGCCTCGTCCCTCTTGGGTGAGGCTTCCCTGAAGAATCCGGCTCCCTGCCCTGTGTCGGCTGGCTCGGTCTCATTGTCCCCCGACTCAGGCACATTCTCGCTCACAAGCGTGAGGAGACGGTCGATCTTCTGCTGCAACTCGTCATCATTCATCACGAGAATCGGGGAGGTGTCCTCCTCAACCCGGGTGTGAAACGTGTTCAAAGAGTATCTGATGAGGTATTGGCGTTTGTGCTTCTTCGCAACTTGGTTATACCGCTCTACATCAACCACGCATGCTTCAAGTGTTCTTCTCAGTTCTAAGGGATTGGCATGTGGGTACTCCCCTGCTGCACAAGCACGTGCAATGCTCGAGCCGGTGAAGCCGCACAGCCAAAAACTGTAAGTGGATGAAACTACAAACAGAGCCGAGCGGTTTCAGGGAGAGGGCCAGGAGAGAAGGTATCTAAGCCTCGGGCGGCAATCCACTTCAAATCCGGGCACGACCTTTGCATAGCGAAAGCTCCGAGGCTGGAACATAGGAGACCCGGATGTAAGATTCGCAGATAGAAGGATCCTCGTAAGAACCTCCAGATGAAGTACCCCTGGTTACGCGAAACTGCCACATACCCTGGTTTCATGCCAGTGAGCCCCGGGCGTGAAGAGTATAGAAAACTCCGGGACGAAGGCCTGACGCTGGGAAAAGCCGTCCCTGTCTAAGAATCCAGTACTCTCTCTGGGACAAGGGGTCGTCTCAAGCTCCGTGGGAGGGCATCCCGTGTCATCTGCTCTTTTGCAGCAGGTTCGGTCGCCCGGAACTGCTCTAAACCTACTACAGGGGCCTAAATAATTACCAGTATTATTTTGGGGGGTTCCTTATTATACATATAGTATAATGGGCACCAAAACCTATTCTAATTATTATAAGGCCCCTATGTTAAACCGTATCACAGCAGATTTCGAAGCACAACAGCTGCTCGAAGTCTCCAGAACCGGGCCTCAAGAGGATCAATGAATGCAAACTGGATGCCCGGCTTCTCCATGCAAGGGGCCTGCCTCGATAATCATCGAAGGTCAACTGCAAGGAACCAGCATCTTCGGGATAGGAATTTGGGGTTCAGGAACCATCGTCATCATCTTCTCCGCTGTGATCATCATGATCGCACCGCCGGCGGTCACTGACGGCAATGGGGCGACAATGCCCGAAGCCACAAGCGACCGGACTTGCGTTTTTGGTACGAACTGCACACCCCAACAGGCCAGAATATCCAGAATGCTTGTCATAAGACTCACTACTCAGACGCCGCTGCACATGCAGCAGTTGAGCATAAGTTTCCGGCAGCAGCGCCTCGCTTGCCGCTTCCTTCGAAGATTGGAGCTTTTGGAGCAACCAGCCACTTGCATGTAACAGGCCTCCTGGGTTACTATCTGTTCTATTTGTCTACTTCGAGCCCTCTCTATCGACCAGAAACTAAAACATTCAGAAGCATGCAGGAACGAGGGACCAACACTTTCAAATCACAGCCAGCTAAGGCTTGCAATGTTGCTCGACTGTCCACAGAGGAATTCCCGTCACCCGGACCCACAAGTGCAGGAGATTCGTTCCTGCGGCAGAAGGATACCCTGCCCCCCTGGACGGAGAGGGCGCATTCGTCTTTCAGGATTCCAGACTTCACTTTTAGAGCTATGGTTCGACGAAAAACAGCAGCTGGGACTCCCGAGAGCAGATCGGGGCACTGGCGGCAATGTAGCTCCGCAGTTGCAACGGAACCGAGATCGCTCAACGCAAGCTTCGGACACTATACATGGAACCGAGATGTGCATTCTAGATCTGGCATCTGCGCCTCTGATGCGTCGTGGTGAAAGGCAGGTGCCTGGAGATTCGCTGTCCCATGCTTGCGCTTGTAGGTAGAGACAGCATCTACGATCCAGGTCGGACCTAGCTGACGGCACCTCTGCCACGACGATGGCTCGAACTGAAGCTCGCGGTTCACCACCCCGAGCCTGCTCAGCGACAAGCAACTTCGAGCTGCAGGACCCAATGCCAGGACTCTGGCAACCACGCCTCCTTCAACAAGGCTTCCTGCGCCGCAGAGCCAGACCATGCAGGCTTCACCTGAGTCTTGAAAACACTGGCCTCCACCCTAACCCCCCTTCCTGGAGCTCATCAGCTTAGCAGACAATGCGAACGGCCTATTGTTCCGAGGATACATTTCGAAGTGGCCAGTTCTCTTTGTGGTGAAGCCCTAAACAAAAACTCCTGAGCCCTATACTCGCTACTAGCTGCACTACCTCCCAGTCACCAGAGACACGTCTGCACCAGCAGCCTGCAGATGCAGAACAAGGCAGGCAAGAAGGGAGCAACTACAACAACTGTAACAGTGCTGTGCTGTATCATGTGAGTACTGAATATGACCGTCCGTTGATAACCGTTCAGCTGCCCAGCGGGATCCTGCTGTGCTGCATTGTTTATCTTGCATGTACTATCCACAACTTCACAGAACACTAGACTCGGGCCAAGCAGTGCGAGAGTGGCTTCAGGCATCTTGCTTTTGCCCTCCACTGCCTGCAAGCTTCTTGCTGTGGATGCTGCCCAATCAGCCTGGACCTGTCAGAAACCCGCATCTTCTCTACTCCAAAGGAGAAGAGCTTCCGAAATTCGTGATCTTCTGATGGGGCCGCTATCTTGCAAAGGTTGCCAAAGCCTTGCTCGGCGGCCTCGAATGTCCACAGCCGGCGGGGTACAGGAGCCGGGTGCTGAGACAGCCCGTGCGCCAGCAGCGAAGCACTGCCGCCTCTGCATGTTGGAGATTCTTCTGTTTCTTCACACCTGCTTCCAGTTGGAGGCCGCCTTTCTGGCAGTGGAGATGCTTTGGAAGTGTGATCTTGCGCGCAGTCGAGCAACACACACCAACGAGCTCAAGAGAGCGACCGGACATGGATGGCGGTGTCAGGCTGGCCAGAGAGAAAACTCCCGGTGGTCCATGGCTATCTGCAGTTCACCCCACCTTCGTTGGCATAGAAGTCTGCAGCAACGCTGACCTGCCAGTCAGCAAACCGACCAAAAGCGCAGGCTCTAAGGCGAAGTGGAACACACGAACGACTCTTGCTCTGGCAAGGCGCGTCTCCTGCCGCAGCGATGCACCAAAGAACCCGCCCAAGGCGGAGAGTTCGACCGATTTGCCCTACGCTGGATGGCAGCGGCGCACAGTCGCAGGGTTCGCGCAGTACCTGCAAAGATCATTCCAGGCTGAAGAGAGTGAAGCCGCTCACCTGGGCATCAAGCCTTTCGGAATCGTTCTGGCGTCTGAAGCTACTAAGAGCTTCATCGTTTCATCGTTCCCCCCAGCCTAGGTATCGACGGATGATGACGTCATAGCGGCAATAGCCCAATGCAGGGCAGTAGGTATGAGGTGTTCGGTCCTCCGTTGAGGTAGGTTAGCGGGCTAGCTTCTTGGCTAGCTAGCTAGTCAACTACGTACTAATACCTAGTTAGCAAAGTAGTTGGTTAGCTTGTTAGCCGGTAGTCGTAGCCGAAGTCGTAGTAGTAGTAGTAGTAGTAGTAGCAGTAGTAGTAGTAGTAGTAGTAGTAGTTGTTGTTGTTGTTGTTGTGGTAGTGGTAGTGGGAGTGGTAGTGGTAGTAGTAGTAGTAGTAGTAGTAGCAGCAGCAGCAGCAGCAGCAGTAAGCAGTATGTGGTAAGTTGTGCGTAGTAAGTAGTAGGTAGTAAGCAGTATGTAGTAAGAGTGCTGGTGGTGGTGGTGGTAGCAGCCACAGCAGGATCAATGGCGTACCAGTGGCAGTTGTTGTGCTGCAGCAGCGGCACCAGGAGCAGGCAGAAGAGGACGACGAGGAGGAGTGGTGGTAGTGGCAGCAGTATTGGCAGTTGTAGTTTTTGTCAGCAATGATAGTAGTGGTAGTAGTCGTGGTAGCAGTAGTAGTTAATTGTTGCTGTCGTTGTACGTAGTGGAATTGGAGGTTGCAGTTGGAGTTGTTGTTGTAGCTGTAGTTGTTGTTGTAGCCGTAGCTGCTTTGCTGTTTTCGCAGCAGCAGTGCCAGTTGTATCAACGGCAGCAAGAGCACAGTAGTAGCTTCCCTGCTATGTTGTGGTTTTGTAAGCTGGTGCACAAATGTGTGCCTGCATAGAACAACCCTCACATGAAGTCCAACCGAGGCGCCCCGTTCGCACCCTCGACGGGCACAGCGTTGCAGGAGCAAGCCTAGAACGGGACATGGCAGTAAACTGCAGAACAAGTAGAAAGCTCCAATGCGCACATGGGAGTTTCCGAAAATAGGGGACCCTAATATAGTACCCTAAATAATAGGATCCTTATTATAAGCACCCCAAAATAAGGTGCCCTAATTTTCGGAAACCCCCACATGACCGGCATGACCCGCATCTGACCTCGTCGCTGCATCGCCGCAGCCAGGCCTGCCACCCTGCCACAGCATCGGAGCCAGCAGGACTGGCGAATCTGCAGGGGGAAGTGAAGGAAGTTCCACGTACGGCATTTTACACCCTCTCCTAAACGAAGCCGCAGCAGAGCCTCAATCTGTCATGTCCGAATCCAAGACTCCCCATCCTGACATCTTGGTTCACATTGGACTGAACCCCTGCTGAGGAATCCCGCAACGAAGATGCTCCCAATTCCTTGGACCCATGCCGCCCATGCCTGCCAAGTGCCGAATGGAACGCTCCTAAAATGATCCACAACAATACATCAAACCAAAAAGCAAACTGAACTTCTTTTTGAACGAGGTCTCTCTGAAGTGCCTCCAGCAATATGATTTCATCACTCTCTCTAGCTTATTTCAACAGATGTAAAGGCAAACATGCTTAATTACATAAACTTCCGAAGTCTGAAACCCTTGAAGCCTCAACGCCCTCAGCAACAGCGGTTTGCCTCGGGTGTTTTTCAAGTCTTTGACGAAAGGCGTGGTGCCGATGCTCTGCGTAGAAGCGATCCATAGATTGCCCCAGCCTAATCGGAGACTTCATTGATTGTTTGGCCGAGGGTCTTTTGGGGCTTCGGTTTGACCTTTTTTGAGGTTGGCCTGTGCGGTTGACATTGAGTCGAGGATCTTCGAATTTAGAGTGCCTTCTGCTTGCGGAGTTAGGTGCTGTATATGAACCCCGGCTTTTGTCTGCGTGCGCGGGCACCTCTTTACCAAAAGTTTCCGTTTGCAAGTGCTTTATGATCTTCTTGTCTTGTGACATGCAACAAATACTAGATTCATCCGTATGACGGTAGGGTGGTTTGAAGCTGATGCGGCAGCAACTTTAATAAGATAAAACCGAAAAGTCAGAGGAGATTGCTCATTGCAGTAATCTGACAGAATCATGACGACGAAGAGACTTGATACACTAGCAGGAAACCTGGCGACCCTCCTGTAATTCAGGGGGTTGCATACCCAATAGAGGGGGCGGCCCGACGAAGAGGCCTCAGCGGCGGCAATGATATGACTTGCCAACGCTCAACTCACGAAGTGGCAGAAGTTTGGGCGCAACCGTCGAGAATTCCGCAGTCACGAGTCGCCAACAGTCAATAGCTTTGCTTTGACAGTTTTGCAAATCCTTTCCGACGTGTGCTATGCGGCCATGCATATGGAACCCCAAACCCATGCCACAAAGTCAGCCACTCCAAGCAGGTTTTTATAAATTCCACGACCTCATCTTGCGGTCCCAGACCACCGACAGGCAACGGCATTCGTGAAACTGTAGCCTGTAGCCTTTCGTACCCTCTGTTTTTCTGCCGGCCTGAGCAACAGGGGCTCGTCCGCTGCTACAGCAAAGCATAACGCCGGATAAAACAGAATCGAAGGTGCCATGGCATTCTCGGGCAGCACATCTAGGAATCTAGTGGCAGACATTTTGGCTTTCCAAGATATAGAACTCGCCCAGTCCCTGTCATGTCTTGGTTGAGAGTTGAGATGCATAGACATGAAGCCCAGGTGCATGCTTTGATGAAGCTTGTCGGAACCAATCGTAGTTACGCGTCAAAGGCTCGAGCTCAGGCACGCGAACAAATTTAACACATCGAGCCATGAACGAACACACACACAGATACAGATACGGAGATTGAGGCAGAGAACGGCGGCAACTGCGTAAGCATGCGCCGTACGCACACACAATCCAACCCAGCCGACTGTGGCTTGGCAGAAACGCTGCCATCGACGCAAAGCACTTGCGGACAGAATGATATTGCAGGCAGTGCTTCTACAGTGCAATACAGACGAGGCATGCCGAGAGTTTGTTCGAAGGAGACGCTTGATATCCGGCAGCGAAGAGCTTTGAAGCAGTTTGAACTGCGAACTTTCTCCAGCGAGCACAGGCGAGTACTGTTCGAGGCCACGCCGGGTGAGCTTCTGAGTGGTCGGGGAGCTGCCATCAGCGCATCCTCAGCTAGCACAGTGCCCGAGCGTTGCCATGAGCAAAGCACTCAGCTGCATCAGAGGCCTTATGAAAGCGTGAGCGTCAACCCTCAAGCTTTTCTCAGCGATTTGCAAACGCCAAGTCTCAGGTTCGGAGGATTATACATGAACGTGGCCGGGGATTCAACCGTCAACCCAAGCGGACGTGCGCACCCTAAAATCCCTGTGAAAACTTCCTGGTCTTGGGAGCCGGCAGCGGAGAGGACTGCAAAAACTGGTCGACCTTCGCGGTGACCGTCTCATGACGCACCGCGTAGGGAGCTCGGGGGGCCGTGCCTCAAGGGGCCGATATCAAAAGGGCAGTTCGGAAGCAGCTACATGGTACGAAAGCTTCTTGAACAATTCTGCACTTTGCAGGCTGAAGAAGCATCGCCGATTTGGGCTCCTAGCTTCGATCGAACACCAGCGTCAGGAGACATGCTAAGCAAGTGAAGGACTCGTGCCTTCAACGACCTTCGCACACTGCTACGGTCCCACCCCTCACTAGACAAACAAAATTGCAATGGTTCTGTAATGTTGAATTCTGCATCGCGTTGGCTTCGCCACACGGTTATCCCTTACAGCAGTGCTTCCCTCCACAAGCTTACATTGAAGCGGAAGGGATAGCTGCTAAAAGGAGCAGCGGACGAAGCGACAACGCAACTATACGAGACGGCGCGGGAACGGAAGAGATTTGCAAGGGATTCGAGCGGTACGTTGCCCGATTCCTCAACTCTCTTCTTCTCACTGAAGGATGCAGCCACTAGAGAAGGCCAATATGCTGACTTCCTCGTTGGTGTGCCTCCTCTCGTTGTCGCAATTTTGATCCTCATCGATCACCACCTCAACCGATGTAGACGAGGTGCCCATGACACGGACCCATCCTCCATCACCTCCAAACCGCTTCGACTGACTCGCAACTACAAGGGGACTCCCACCCATATCAGCACCGAAGGACACGGTGGCTGGACCGTTATCCCAGCCCCTCACGCTTCGGGAGGATTTCACAGCAGCGCACTGGACGGCCTGACCTGATGCCTGGAATGTGTGGACACCCTGCTGGATAGCCAGCCATCCAACCTCCTCGTCCTGATTCACAGCAGAGCCTCCATGCTGGGAAGTCTCAGCCATCTCCAGCGACACCCACGCATCAGCGGGGTTCACAGAATTGACACCCACTGTAAACCATGGCTCTGAATTCGCTGACGGCAGGCCTACTTCATTGTTCACCGTCTGGATAGTCGTCAGAAAGGCCGGTTGCTCCGCGAACTGGTTCTGGAAATCCACTTTTTGCCATGAAGTCGACAGTCCGCCCGAGGGTCTACACTTCGTTGAAGCCGCAAGCTTGGCAGTGGAGACTCGACCAGCTTCGAGCCACAAGCCGCTGCCTGGGAGCTGACGAACTCCCGGGACCACCGCAACGAAGGAGACCGTCATGGATGCACCGGCAACGCTACTGCCGGTGGGCTTCGCAACCACGGCTTGGAAGCCAGTCTTGGTCACGTCCTTTATGCGGATTGCTGCAGGCTCATCCACTTGTGCCGACGGGGCAAGGACCACCACTGGCACTTCAGCAAAAGGCATGCTGAAAGAATGGCTCACCCACGCTCCGGTCTGTACTGTCACCTCACCAACTTCCAGGGTGGCCATGCCATTCAACGTCGAAGTCGTTGTTGACGTTGTTGTAGTCGTCGAGGTCGTCGTAGTCGAAGTGGTTGTTGTAGTTGTTGTAGTCGTTGTCGTTGTTGTCGTCGTAGTAGTAGTCGTAGTCGTCGTAGTCGTTGTAGTTGTTGTAGTCGTTGTAGTTGTCGTAGTTGTTGTAGTCGTTGTCGTCGTAGTAGTCGTTGTAGTCGTTGTAGTGGTTGTGGTCGTTGTCGTCGTAGTAGTCGTCGTAGTCGTTGTCGTCGTTGTAGTCGTTGTTGTAGTCGTTGTTGTAGTCGTCGGAAGCACTTCAAGCACGAGCGGGCCCGACCAAGCGATAAGGCTTGCTGCTTCACCGATGTGTATTCGCTCCGTGTCACAGTACATGTCCTCGTCAATGAATAGATTCACAGAGGAAGCAGAGGTTGCTGAAAGCCTGAGCCAACCCCCGTTGTTGCCGTTTCGTGTCACTTGGCTTCCCACAACCAGTGGTGAGCTGGCAAAAGCCATCGGCAGTGCAACAGTCGTCTCCCCGTCATCGAAGCCCTTGACCACGGCCCCAGTCAATGTCGCGGAGTACTGGACATCTTGGAGTCCGGCCATGACACTGCCTTGCCCCACCGACATAGCCACGTAGCCAACCTCCTCAGCAGCTGTCAAGCTACCGACTTGCGAGGTCTCAGCTGACTCCAAAGCAATGGAGACTGAAGTTGAGGACACGTCCTGACATGCGACTGTCAGCCAGGGCTGCGAGAAAAAGCTTGGAACTGCTCCGTACTCGTTGTTGGCTGTCTGCAGCATGGTCACAACAGCCGGTGGAGCTGTAAACATGGTCGCGAAATTCACTACATCCCATGCTTGGCTTGCCCCAGCAAGCTGGCAGGAAGTTCCCACTTGCCTGGCCGAAGTTGAGACCTTCCCTGCCTCAAGGTGACTTCCATCCGGCAGCGTGTGGCTCCCTGCAAGCACCGCCATGAAAGCCACAGTCATGGAGGAGCGGTCGGTCGTTGGGCCGGGCGGCACCACAACCAACGCCTGGAATCCCGCTGAAGAGACATCTCGGATTTTCACGCTTGCAGGAACCGTTTCTCCTGCAGCACCCATGCCTGGCAATACCACCACCACAGGAGTCTCTGCGAAAGAGTTCCGGAATGAAAAGCTTTGCCAACCAGCGCTGTCTCCTGCGATGGTGATGCTTCCGACCTCAAGAAGCGCAGGGCCTGCAAAGGTACCGGTGGAAGACGTTGTGGTGGTTGTGCTTGTGGTCATAATGGTGCTGGTTGCCATTGTTGTGGCAGTGGTGGTGGCCGGAGGGGTGCTAGTCGTGGGAGTAGTTGTAAAGGTGGTCGCCGTAGTTGTTGTGGTCGTTGTGGTCGTTGTGGTGGTTGTCGTCGTGGTTGTGGTGGTCGTTGTGGTCGTCGTGGTGGTGGCAGTTGTGGCCGTTGGCCGGCTTAGTGTGAGTAGAGCGGTCATGGTGCTGCTGGTATCAATGCTCTCCACAGTCACCATGACCTCTCCATCGTCTGAGGTCCAGCTTTGGCCAGCAGTCAAGGTTTTCAAGTGCTGGCTGACCTCGTAACCACCCTTGTTCCACTTCTTGATCTGTACGTTGTTGCGCCAACTTGACTTCATGTAGGCATCGTAGGAGTGCGCGGTCTTGAGCTGTACCCAGTACACGTTGACGGGCGACACCCAGTCTGCGGTGATGGCAATTGCTCCGTCACTGTGAAGCGACATGGAACGCAAAGGCACACTCGAAAGCTGGCTGGGGAAGTTGTCACCGTCGAGTTCGAGCGACGGCGTTAGCCACCCCAGCTCGTAAGCATGTGGGGCGTTGTAGCAACGCACGGTGCAGCAGAAGCCCATAGCACAGCTGTGATCCCCATACTCCGAGCCTCCATTGATGCCAGCGTGAGCCAGTCCAAGATTGTGTCCAAGCTCGTGTGTGTAGTCTTGGAGTTTCGTTGAATAGTCATGAGGAATCCAAGAGTAGCAATTGGTGCGTGAGCATCCCACGTTGCCCATACCCACGAAGCTGCATTTCACAACGTCCCTGGGGAAGATGACAACCCAATGCTGCCATGTGGACTTCGAAAGTCCTGGCTTGGTGTCCGCAAACTTCTTGAATGCGTACCTGGGCCAGCCATAGAATTCGGCACTTCCACAATTGTTGACGGAGTCGTAGGTACCTGGGCAGTAAGGAATGCTTGAATCACAAACTAGAGGCACATCAATGTAGAAGACGTCAGACTTCTCACCCGGGACATCCTGCGCCAGATCGTTCTCCCCCTGGTCCACGTCAAACTGCATCTGGAGCTTACCGTATGAACAGTCGTGCCATGCTCCTGCATGAGTCTGCTCATCGGTACGGTCGAAGATACCGAACAAGGAGTTGTTCACCCCGATGGAAAAGTCCTTGCGCTCTTGTACGGTGTCCATGCTGGAAGGGACCAAGCTGCCGTTCGCATACAGGAAGCGCACCATGAGAACGGCTGCTGTGCGAGTCTCCACGCCCTCGCTTTCCACTGTTTGCAGAAAGCTGGCTCTTCGTCCCCTGGCGCGTCGTAGAACCCTGAAGCCTTTCACCCTCAAGTGCCTCCGGCCACGCCGGCGAACACGGCGGCCGCGGATGGCAAGACGATCGCCTGTTTGGGGATGGAAACGCTCGTGTGCGTGCTCTATACCGTCTATGTCCAATTCCATGTCGTCTTCGTCTGCCTCTCCGTCAATGTGACAGGAGAACTCATGCTCTGGTGGCTTGGTGTAGTAGTCCTTTGCAATGCTGCTGACCTCGCATTCCACTTCCTCATCCGCAGCATCCACATCCGCTTCATCCTCAACCGCGTCCTTGTCATCAACAGCTTCCCGGCCCACGTTCGAGCGGATTTGCACCAGATCGAGACCACCGGACTTGGGGCATCCAGCTTGGCGTCCACATTCCTGAGCACCTGCGTTTGTCGCAAGGAAGGTCAGGATCATCAAGATCTGCCTCATCTTCAAATGCATTGCTGAGGCGGGGCGGTAAGATCCTAATGCCGAAACTGGACGATAAGAGCCTGAGTGCCGAAAACGCTGATCGTGACAGCAGGATTTTGGACTGACTCTCGCAACTCGGACACCAACTGGCGCATCTCGATGCGCCTGGATCTCGCCAATGCGCCAGCTTCGCCTTCATAGCGACATGGAGCCAAAATGGGACCCCTCCGAAGCGCAAAAGAGATTGCCTCAACCCGACAACTCCGCTTGCGAGAGAGCCGCCTGCAACTCCGGATCCTCGTCGGCCTTGGCTTTGGCACGGGTGTCCTGGACTGAGAACCACAGCTGCCCCACCAGTGTCCACACATCCTTGCTACCCTGCACCTACCAGAAAATGAAAGTTGCCACTGACGGATTCACCAGCGCATGGCAGATTTGGCAGCTGAATTGCCACCAACTCATGTGGTGGTCAAGGCCGAATGATGGCGGCATGACACTAAGTTCCATGTCACCCCAGCACTGCAAAAGAAAACTAGCACTACTGGAAACCTTCGTCGAAGCACGAGACTTTACATTCTGCCTGGGTCGAGACCGCTACAACAGCGTTGAGGGATCGTGTCCTTGATAGAATTCCTCGAAGTTGAAGTCGCAAGGCGGGTTTGGCAGCTCTGCCTGCAGGGGCAGAATAGGGTCCCGGGTCTGGGGGCTCAAGTTTTGGCTTTTCTGGTTTGGTCTGGGGTTTGGGGTTTCGGACATCTTTGGTATGGTCCTCTGCACAAAAGCTGGCTGCCAAAATAATGTCATGCCAAGCCGCGCCATATATTTTCTCTAACCATTCCCGCGCAATCTTGATCTTGAACTCATTTGCGGTTGTAGACTTGCCTGCGATTGCATGGCCTAGCTTAAACTCCGATCCCATGCGTCGAGCAGCTGAAACGTCCACCCGAGCTCCGCACCGTTGTTCCAAACCTGTTGCATGCTCATGTTGCTGGCCCCATAAACCTCCAAGCCAGATCTGCTCACCTGCACGGGGCACACGAACGAGCGATGAACGCAAACATGCACGGGCGAGTACTGTTCGAGGCCACGCCGTGTGAGCTTCTGAGTGGTCGGGGAGCTGCCATCAGCGCATCCTCAGCTAGCTCAGTGCCCGAGCGTTGCCATGAGCAAAGCACTCAGCTGCATCAGAGGCCTCATGAAAGCGTGAGCGTCAACCCTCAAGCTTTTCTCGGCATCGATTTGCAAACGCCAAGTCTCAGGTTCGGAGGATTATTCATGAAAGTGGCCGGGGATTCAAGGACGGCGCGACTTTCCAAAACTAGGTCAATTGAGAGACATGGTCGTCTGCTTGTCTTCAAGCTCGTAGAACAAACTCAGGATCACATCGTGGCGTCGGGATAGAGCCGGCTTTTGTGCAGGCCATCCCATAGCCATAGCACTTATAACCACGCTTTACCGTAAATAAACCCTAACCCCTATCAGCTCTGCTCCCTGACATGCCGGAGCTTCAATTGCAGCCCACGCTTTCGGCTCGGGCAGTGCTCTAAAACGGTTTCAAGACTAAACACTCGGTTTTGCGTGTCGAGTCTGGCCGGTTCGGTAACAACTACCAGTAGACAGAGCAAAGGATGGTCCTACATGATGAAGATGGAAGCAATCTCATTTCAAGCAGTGTGGGAGTCGCTGCTGCTTTTCAATTCTCGGCCAGCCGACACACTGCACTAAGTCTCATGCTAATTCAGCCTGTAACTCTTAAGTTCATGCATGGACTGCCAAGATGCAAAGTGCTTCTGCACAGTGTCTCGACAGTCGCATTTATAGGCGCAGCAAGGCGGTCAATTCAACAAGCATTTAGGGTCTCTACAAGGGGCGCCATTGAGCGGAGACTTCTTAGAGGGTCCACAACGGAGCCAATCTTGCGCCACGGCCATCGACAGTGCAGCCAGATCGGCTTTGCCGATTGCAAGCTTCAGAAATGAAGGACATTGAGCTGGAAGCCAATGGTGCCGACTATAGCAATTGAAAAATAAACGAACTTTTGCAGGACGCCCAGGGTAACGCGGGTGTCCCACATGAAAAAGCCTGACTCACTCAGGCTCAGATACAGAGATAGGTTCATGTACTCCAGCTCCATGTCTTCTTCGCCACCATCCTTAGCAATTTTGGTGTCTGTCGCTGAAGTTACAAAGCCCGAACTAGAAAAAACAAAGTGACAATCGCAGCGAAGCTTCAAGCATGCTGACGAAAGAAGGCAGCCTCGTACAGTGAGCCGTAGCAGATGCTGCGACATACCTTGGCATTCCGGGCATCTAGCTATGAGAACATGACTGGCTTTGTTGTCAACACCCTTTACCCCTTCTTCTTAGGCATATCCCTCCTACTCCTCCTTGTCCTCCTTGCCGCTCCCCTCGCTTCCTCTACAGTAGTTTGAGGTCCGGTGGGAGGCTGTGGAACAGCTCAAGGCCGAGAGACAAAGAACTAAGTAGGCTTCCTGCCACCACCAGATTCGGCAAGATATCTGCCATCAAGCCCTGACGCGGGAGTTGAATCCGACGTAGAATCTAGAGTCGAAGTCAGTCTTGGCAGGTGGCAAGTAGCATAGATCTAGTCTGGCTTGGTCCACTGGGCTTCGATGTAACCCGGAGAAATCTACTAAAGGCACTAGGCTCTCGGAAACTTCGTGCTGAGATTCCGCAAAAAAATCCGAAACCTGGAATCCTGCCTGGTGGACGTCAAAAAGCGATGTGAACACCACCAGCACGGCTGTCAGTGCCAGAGCAGCGGCTGACAGCTGATACATGCGCGAAGCTTGGCGCATGCAACCTTAGAGGACTGAATTCGGCATCCTTGGGAGTTGAGGCCCCTGCTTAAGGTTTATGGGGTGGTATTCTCAAGCATCGCTCCCTTGCCGGTACGACAAACGACACCGGCGAGCGTGACATTGCAATTGACGCATGGCCTCTGGACCTTAAGGATGACCCATGATGACCCATGCTGTGGAAGCGACACTAGCCTTCTCTGCCTGGGCGCTTGTCATCTCTCGCCACTTTGCTCTGGCGCCCTGACCGCGAATATGCCCGGAGAGCAGGGACCGTGCAAAAGCAACAATGGTCAGAGACACACCACGCCAGCAGGCTAATTGAAGGTAGCAAGCTCCTGCATGAAGCGGTCGTGAAGGCAGCTACCAATGTCAGACTCGCTATGCCTACGAGGCAAGAAGGAAAAAACCAGATAGGCAGTTTTCTAAATTAGGGTCCCTTTTAGGATTCTTTTTATAAGGGGGCCGTACTGTATTGGGGACCTAAAAAGGGACCCTAATTTAGAGAACTACCCAGATGGCACACGGGTCCTAGAAGAGCTGCAGAAGCAAAAGCATGCGGGACGATGGCCAGAGCGAGACGGCCGTGGAACTCCGGCTGAAGGCTGTAGAACCCAAGGCGTGCTGCCAGGATGGCAATCCAAAGAAGCACCTCAAGCTCAAACCCTAAACCCTAAACCGTCCTGTCTTCATGAGCCCAAGGCCTTAGGCATCATGAGCTTCTCATTTGTCCCCTGACTTCCCGGACTCAAGCGGAACCTCGCCTTAAAGAGACACAATCACGGTTTCGATTCGCTGGTTACCTGTTCTTCGGAGCATGGAAGTATGGAACATAGGCTCTTTCCCCACACCGGGTCGTCTTTCCGGGTGTGCGGGACTTCATGAAAGCTTTGCCTAGCTCTCCCCACCTGCTCTTCAACCCCAATGAGTACTTCAGTTTAGGGAAGACCATAGCCCTCGAGGCGCAGTGACTAAGCCGTCTGTAGTCTTCTGCCTGCGAAGATGGCTCATCAGGCCTTCGCTTTCGATACTCGCCAAGAGGTGCTCGTTGATCTGGATCTGCATCTGTGCGCTCTTGAAATACTGCCTCAAGCCACCACAGGATGCGATGGCCAATGTAGCACCAAATGCAATAGCCACGTCGGTCGCAGGCCCGCTTGCACATGGATCGATGTCGCTTCCGGAGCTGCAAACACTTAAGCGAGTGGCGGTTGCCCAAACCCCCACACAGCTGAGGCTCAACACCAGGCAATGGTATACCTTTGACACCAGCATCATCCACGGATCCAAATCTTCGCAGTCCTCTTCTGGATTCTCGATCCACCGCTGAACCAAGGGAGTGAGGCCACACAAGCGTGTCCAGGCATCGCAGCAGGCCAAACAGCACGAAGCACCACGCTCACCTAGTTGGGGCCCTACTCGCTTCGCTACTGGTGCAAGTAGGGGTCGCTACAACAAAGGATCGCTCCGTCCACAAGAGCAGGTAATGCAAAACCGAGGCGCCGTAGCCGGATGGGACATACTCCTCCTCCTGCTGAAATCCAGTGGGCGCGCGCATGCTAGTTCCCGTGGTGCCAGTAGGTGACACAGGAATCAGCTGGGTCTCACGATGCTTGAAGACATCCCGCAAGGATGCACAATGCTCTTTGCTGGAGATCTTGGACTTACCTGCCTCCGAGTTTGCGCCGGCAACCTCAATCATATCACCAGGACTGATGCTTCCCGTTTTCTTCTTTCCTACCGAGCTCGGGTTGTCCTCAGTCCTCAAAATCGACCTTGAGGATCTGGCAGCGGAAACTGGTTCTGGGACGGCAAGAGACTTCTGTGAACTCCCCGGCCCAAAACTCACCTTCCTGGACATGGCGAAGCTGGCAGCAAAGTTCTGCGATGCTCCAATATGATAGGTCCCGCTTCTCTTGTACATCGCACTGCCTTTTTTATCATCTTGTCGACTCTTCATTGCTGCCTTCATGACTCTTTGCCCCACCAGCTCGTCGATGTCATTGAAATCCGATACTGATTTAGATGACATGGAGGTTTCTGCCTTCGAAGCCTTTGAGTTAAATCGTCTGGAGTGGCGGGAGATGAAAGACAAAGCTCCACGTGGAGCCTCAGCTTGAGACAGCTGAGTGAGCTTCTCCTCCACTGCAGCCACACGATGGTGAACGTTCTGCAATTCGTTGCTCTGCTGCTCTGCCAGGCGAATGAGGAGGTTCAGCTTCTCTTCAATCATCAGTGGCGGTGCTGGTGGCACATCCTCAACCACCCCACCTTTGCTCGAAGCCACCAGCCCAGTAGGCACCACAACCAATTCTGGGTCCGACGTGTCTTGAGCATCGAGAATCTCCAGGCTTTGCCGACTCTGACCCTCCAGGCTTCGAGAATGTTGTCGCATGGTGCAGCTCGGGGGATCTACAGTACCGGATCCACCAGTAAGTCTCAGTAAGTGCTGCAATCTGACCTGTGGTGATCGTTGTGTAGCTGCACTACTTTCTTTCCTGGACTGTCTGCGTGCACCATGTTATCAACCACCCCCTTGACTCTCACCCATGCTCTGCGATCAGCCAGAACACTGCTTCTTCTTTCTTTCGCCACGCTTGAGTCCCTACTCTCCGTCTTGCAAACTCTTGCAATCACTCTCTGCGGCCGATGCCGACCAGTTTGCGGTGGCAGCAAAGAACTTGCGACGGTAATTTGGGCAATTTCTCAGCGACGACAATTTACACCGGTTCGGCGCCCGATTACCTCCGTCACTAGCTGCGATCCGTAGCCAAAACCCACACCTGGGAGCCGTGCCGTTTGTGATGCCTCGCGGGCGGCGGAACCTGTTCGGCGTGTGGTACCGCAATCAAATCGTCCAACCTCAAGTTTGCTACATGACATTCGGTCCCGACGGGTCCGATTGCAAAGACCTGCATTGTCAAGCTCAGCTCAGTCGCTTCACGAACAAATCCACGGAGTGGGAACAAAACATCAGCAAGAGCAACCATGTTTGATTTGCCTTGAAACTTAGAAACAGACCCGACACCTGCGGTTGAACCAGTAGTCTATAAGCGCGCAAGACGAAGCGTTTGTCGGGCATGTGGCTGCCTCAGTATGGGGAGCGGTGCTACTGCTGCAAGGCAAGAGGGCGACCACGGTCTGGAGATGGCCATGGCGGAAGCATGAGAAATGTCCTGAGAATTACATGCTCTGCACAAAACATCGTGCACAGCACACTTTCCTAAATTGATCATGCACTACAGCACACAATCGCTGACAACATTAAGAAAAGTCTCTGTGTAGCAAATAGGCATGATGGATTCCTGCTGTCTCGTTGCAAAAGTGCTACTAGGCAGCAGCATGCAGCAGCATCCGGTGCTAACGCCTCCAAAGCCTGTCACGGTACAAGTAGTATCATGACATGTCCTTGTACCATGAGCACTCTCGGCCATGCTTCTCACTCCAGCAGCACCCTGACAGAAGTCCGCATCCTGCTAGCATCCCTCAACGAAGCCATCTCTAAACCTAAGACTTCCTAGTAGATGGTACAGGCGATCTTGAGCAAAGAGGCACAGCTCAGAAACCCTGAGGGCCTTCCCTCGAGCAAGATCTAAGGCATTCAATCTGGACCTCGCGCAAGTAAGCCGGCTGTGAGGAAAGCTCTCTCTGTCTCCTGTCTCCATGATCTTGACAAGAATTCATCACAATGGAGCTGCAAGTCCAAATGATGAAAACTGCATTCGACCTCTCTCTAAGCCCAACTCGACTTTCAGTTTCTCCGAGTACTGAAGTAGAGCTGCTGAAGTATAGGGTATTATGGCAGAATACGATAAAGTGTTCTCGGTACTGCTGGAGTGTGCCAAAATCAAGAACCTCTGACAGGATGTACTAGAATAGGGTTCTGGGGCCCAGTATACTATATTTATAATACGGAACCCAAGATAATATTGGTACTTTAGGCCCTTATATTACCTGAAGTCTTGAGCTCTGCACAACTCTCGTAAGGCCTTCTTTTGTCGGCGACGTGCCGTCGAAAAGAGGCAGAAATCCTGAAGGTAAGGTCAAGAACGAGAGAGGAGCTGGAGTGACGTCGCAGTTCACCACAGCCGACACGGATAGGATGGCAGGAAGGGACTCTGCTGGATCCTCTTAAAGGCTTCCTTAAAGGGCTTAGGGCTGTGATAAGTGGGTCCTCAAGGACAGCCACATGCAGAACCTCTAGCGCCTGGCAAAGACCAGCCCACCACGACACGGCAGAAGTAGATGCTGGTCAGCCGGGACCCACTATTCTGCAAGAGGGGCGCGTCAGACCGCAAAAGGCACCTTGACGGCCTTAAGCCCTTGCCACATGGCTTGGGATGCACGTCAGCAACACACCGTGACCTCTACTGGCAACCAGGCTGGTCAGGCTCATCCCCCATAGCGCGGGCCAGGCCGGGCCTCCCCAGTTAAGATCCCTTTTTCATGAGCCGGGCTCCATGAAAATCAAGCCCGGCTCGGTCACTTTCCAGAAGCTCTTCTGAATCAAAGCACCGGATCCCCTCAAGTTCGAAGACCTCCCTGGTCTTGAAACCGGACTTGCAGAGAGAGCCCCCCAATGCCCAAAAGCCTCTAAAGTGATTCAAAACCTTTAGAGAAGAGGAGAAGATCTTTGGGGATTGCAGGGCTCTGCCCTGTCTCCAAGACCAAGGAAAAGTCTTCACTCAGGCCCGGAAAAAGAGCTGAAACCTCCCAGCCCCACACGTCCGCCTCAGAGTTGGGCAGCGGACGTTCTACCGACAAAGCAGCTCCAGAGCACCGTACAACACCCAGACTCTTTCGGGTTTTCGGGCTTTCTCACAGAGACTCTGTGGGCGCGAAAAACCAGGAGGGTACGAAGAAAAGGCTCCGCTTGGATAGCTCGGAGCCTCAAGTCACTCCTTGCTTGGATCCACACTCCCCCCATGGAGCGCCGTGTCCTGCTGAAGCCACGACAGGTCTAGCCGACAAATATTCGTCGAGGCTGTCAGAAGCTTAGACCCCAAAAACTGATTTCGACCTATTTCATGCTCTGTGGATGTAAGTCCGGGCCCAGGGTGGAATGTACCTCTGGGAAGAGAGTCTGTAGCCGAAGCTTATGGAGCAAAACGAGGGAACTGCCAGCGGCATGCTCTCTGCAACTTTGATCTTAAGGCGTGCCAGATTATATGTGTGTAGAATGCCGGATGAAGGGTATGCTACGAAAGACGCGGACGTGATTCGGTGGGAAGCTCTGTCTTAGCCTGGAGAAAGCGCCCTCGGCAGCAGTCGTCACACTTTTGCAATCATGAGCCCAGCGAACCCGCACGAGCCAAGGAGATAGATCTGGTTGGAAGAAGACCGGAATGTGTGAGGCCAACAAGCAAGCTTCGTTGCAATGCTGGGTGGGGCTCGGCGAGTCCTTACCGTCTTCTGACCTGTCTGGGTCGCTTCACGCTTCCTGACAGACTCCGGCCCCGTTGAATCCACGTCTCTGTGTGCGCAAGAAAAGCCTTAGCTTTAATAAGCCTTGCGACTATCCATGCTTTACTCCCGAACGCTGCGATCGGAGGGGACTCCATTCCCAGGAAGCTTTCAGACTCCACGGGTTATGTCCGAGTGATGAGCAGGCGCTTACGGCAAAGCGACCTCACGAGACTAAGCCTGCTACCCTTCTCGACAAGGAATCCGGCTTTGTGTGGTAGAGCGGCCTCTTTTGAAGAATGGTGGCAGCCCGGTAGCCCCCCACCGTGCCTGGTCAGGAGGACGAAGACCGGCGACGAAGTAACGTCATGCTCAACCGCTTATCCCCCAGAAGTGCATTAAATTCTTTGAACCCGCCCTCGTCTCGAGGCAGCCACAGCAAGACTCTGTCAGGTTGCCGTGCACCAAGACCCTGCACTTCACTGAGAGGACGTAAGAAGACACCTTTACTCTTATCTTTTTGCAGAGAATGCGCTCTGTCGTTTTATCTTATCCTTGCCGCTTCTACAAGGCTTTGTGACCGTCTTCCTCTTGCACCCGAAATTTCCGGTTTTGTCAAAAAGCCGTGGTGCCTTTCTTCGAAGCGTGATCCCAAGAGCTGCTTGCCGAGACGAGCAGGACCCACGCTTTGCCACAAAGCATGGTCTGAGTTTCTGAGCCATCACCCACTGGCGAGCACTTTTCCCACGTTTGGGAAGCTGGGTCTGTGGCAGGACACCCTATGCGGCTTCTTAGGAACCTCGAAGACCTTACGCCTTACGCCCCTGAGCATGTAGAGCACCTCAAAGAGACCGAGACCCTGGTTGGCAGATGGCAGGGGTCTCTAAGCACCCGTCTTCAACCCAACACCTCGAAAGCATGTGGCCTCAAACCTAGATCGCCCTCTCACACCCCCATGCCTGGACTGTCCTGAACCCAACGTCTCAATCCCTCTGACAGTACGTGACCTTCACGGAGCCCCCAACAGCGCAGTGGCAGCGACATCGACCCATCGCCAACATCGGCGGCATGGCCCGAATGGACTGCAGCAGCAAAACACGGGCTGTCAAACTGTCACACGAAGCTGGTCAAGTGGCTGCAAGATGGCGCCACTGCCTTCACGCCCCTTTGCAGCTGCAGAGATCTCTCAGAGATCGATGGAGGCCGGGCTTCGCCTCCATCCGCACTGCAGGAGAAGAAGCTTTCGGGGCAAGGACCACTACGCTGCAGCCTCGGCCTCTGCCCGCACGATCACAGCAGAGCGTCACTGTGCATCCCAGCTTGGAAGCATTGCTGCGGTCTGCGGAAGGGTTGACGCTCTTGCAACGCGGACTCCGCCAGACGAGGTCTCTAGGGTTGTCCACGAGCAGGCAGAACAACCACCAGGTTTGGGAAGACGAGGGGGTACCTTTTGAATTCTATTCCTCTGCCAGCATCAGAGCCCGTGCTCTCAGACTCCGGCCGACTGAAGCCAGAAAGAAGAACATCAGTTTAGGCCCAAACTTCGTGTTGATCTCGGGAGACACGCCTGCAACTGTCATGCGAGCTGCTGATGACCACTGCAGCAGACGGGAGTCGAAACCTTTGTTGCCAGAACATGTGCCTGTCGAGGCTTAGTCCAGGATGGACCATTCTTTAAACATTGCCTGTGCTCTCGTTTCAATGCCCTGTCCAAAGATGGTGCCCCCATTTCTGTGCCATAACATGACATCGAGAACTGACTCATCCGCCTGATGACAAGAAGCCTCTGGGCAAGTGAGCTGCCAGTGAGATGGCCATGGTCCTACTGCATCGGCGGCTTCAGAAAGGGGCCGAGCTTGAGGAAAGGGATGACCTCAAGCAAAAATGCCAGCAAACCGATGATTGCGCCGTAGTTTAGCATGTTTAGCAACCTGCGGTGACCTGAAGTCGTGAGGACGATGACTACGCGCCTGCCTTGGGGCGGAGCACGTC